TGTTTGTCCAAAACATCTGGAGGGCATGAAGTAGGGGAAAGCTGCTTCTAAACAGCAAAAGAAAAACGGCACTGCTTTTTAATGTTATGAATTATAACAGACTTCTCAAAGTTTCATAGACGTGAAAGACGGGAACATGTTTGTAAAAAAGTGAGTGGATCACCTGTTGTGCCTTGGCCATTCCACTAGGACAACGGCTGAAGAAGACCCCACATTACCTGCTAGTGGCAGGCTCATTTGTTCTCCAGTGGTTTGTGTTTCACAGCATTGTTTTAAATACCAAGAGGACAATTGATGGGGGATGGGGGTGTTGGGGGCAGGGCAGGGTCGGTTGGTTAAAGATGTCCTGGAAAAATTATAATTATCCCACAATATATTATCCACTGCTCAAAACAGACCTCAGCAGTTGCAGTGGGTGGAAATGGGTGGAATGGCAGGTGGTGCAACTTATTTCTGATATGATTCTCACTCTTCTTTTACATGGTGAAGGTATTTGTTAAGACACTCACAGCAAAGGACTTATAAGAATAATTTATCTCCTTGATGGGAGGGCTAGTGCTGGGTGACATCTGGTTTTCAACATTGCGGTATATCTATCACCAGCTAAACATTCTGATATACCGATATATCACAATGTCTGAAATAATGGTGGCACTATGTCAAAGCATTGGCTGGCTTCACAGTTTTCCCCGCATTGTGGTTTTTGCATAGCACCCACCCACCATGATATATTGCTAGGTCAAAAATTATGAAACATACAGACTTCAAACTGGTTTTGGGTGATATATCAATATATCGCCAAGCACCAGCAGGCACCAGTACCAACAAAGTCCTCTTTCTGGTTCCCTGTAATTTCACTTCTGGCAGTGAGGGAACAGCCAAAAAGCCCTATTATTTACCACTTATACAGTGGTAAATGAATTTCCCCAATACTACCAGCTCCTTGTCTGTTGATGTTCTTTATGTTATCAAGGACTGTAAAGTTCAGTTTCCTGAGTGCTAACCCTTTTTAGGAGACTGCTGTGGAGTTGAGGTGAATGAGAAGAGGCCATCTTCCTTCCAGACAACAGAAAGCTTCAGGAAGGGGCTTTGTTGTGGCACAAAAGAGCAGAACTTGGGGAGGTCGGTACTCTTATTGTGTACACATTACCATTTACTCTGACTCCAGTGTGCTTCCACTGCTGGTGTGAAGCCAATTTCATATGACATTAGCCACAATCCATACATATCTAGTAGTTTCTCGAGAAATACTGCTGTTTCATGCATTTCTCCTCAAACTAACTTTCATCTAATTAAAAAAACGTGAATTGCGGTTAAGCTGACATGCACACATTTGAGGCAGCCATTGTTCATGTGCAGATTACAGCTCCACTGAATAGGTGTTTGGCATGGGGAAACAAAACAGGCAATGTGCTTTGGGTGAAGAGATCCCTGCTCCTTCTCTGGTGTGTACAGCAGTGTGGAAAAGCAACTTGAAATATAGCTGGGGGGAAATGACCTGGCTCCATTTTAAGTCACTCATGTGTACATAGCCTAAGACCCATGCGATCTGACCTCTCCTCCGGCATAGCTGGGAAGAAGACTCCAGTAATGTTTACTTTCCGTCTACCTGAAACTTGGCTTGTTCTTACATGTGAATTGGGAATTGTGGTTTATTGCTAGCAGGAGATTCTGGTTATGAAGTGGGCTTTTTTTAACCTAAGCATTCTTAGTGCGACCCCTGTTGACTGAGTTGAAGGGTAAGTAAACACAGCCATCATTATTCTCCCAAGCGTGCAGCAGCATGAGAGACTGAGAATCGGTCAGGCTCAGTCCAGCTGATGCACATCACACCATGGTTTCGCATCATGTGCAACTGCAACCAGAAAGGAAGAGTCATGCATAACAGAGTTTGCAAGAAAGCAATTAACTCCAGCTGCTTAAAGAAATATGATGGTCTCTACTTGCACAGGAACACCCCAATCTTCCCATCCTCAGACTTTAATAGTGTTATTGATATGGGTAAGTCCTAGAAATTAATTGATTAATTGGGATATGGATTAAAGTACAGAAATGTGCCAGACAGGGAATTCCTGGGCTGGTTTATACAAACCAACCTGACCAAGCTAGGGCCATTAAGAGAACAATGATGAGCCATTGAGGAGAGGAATCCTTTAGCCTGGGGGGGATGAGATGTTACCAAGGTGATGGCGTGTATGTTTGAAGCAAGGATTACTGGGAAGAAGGAGAAGGAAAATGAGAGGAGATCCATCTTGGAGGGGGAGACGAAAGGTTCCCTGTACTGGTGTGAGCCATGCTATAAGATCTGGACTCCCTCCAGGCAGACTGAAGGTATAAATAGGTGAATAAACCATATTTCTTAAAGCATGGCAGTCTCCACTGTGTCTTCCTTTCTCCAAAGGGACACAGACCCTGTGTATGTGCCTGTGACTCCATGCGCTCTGGCCACTGCTTGGCAGAGAGAGGGGTGGGCACTGGGCTTTTGTAACACTAAGAATTTGTTATAAGAAAAAAACTGCTCCCTTTCCCTCTATTCCGAACTTAAAAATGGAAAAAATGGTGGTCAACAAAAGAGGTTTAAAGACTGTCTCCAGGCAAATCTAAAAAAATGTTGTGTAAACACCAACAACTGGGAAATACTGGCCTGCGAGTGCTCCAGTTGGAGAACAGCCTTTACCAAAGGTGTTGTGGGCTTTGAAGACACTCAAACTCAGGATGCAAGGGAGAAATGTGCTAAGAGGAAGGCACACTTGGCAAATCCACACGGTGATCAACTCCTGCCCGGGAACCAATGTCCCCACTGTGGAAGGACATGTGGATCCAGAATTGGCCTCCACAGTCACTTATGGACTCATTGTTAAAACCGTGTTTATGGAAGACAATCTTACTCGGCTATGAGTGATCACCAAAGAAGAGAAGAAGACCCAAGAGCCCATATAGAGTCCTTATGTAGGTTCTCTATCAGAAGGAGAAAATAACAGAGACCAACCAGAGAATACTGAGAAGCAAAGCAGCTAGTAAGTCTGTTTTTTCTAAAACTGTTGCAACAGGTGCTCACCTCTCACCCCATGCAGGAGGAAGGAGGAACCCAGAACAATGGTTTGCAAGCCCTATATGACTTTAGAAATTGCCACCCTGTAGCTCAAGACCCCATACATCATACATACATCACCGAAGGGGTGGTCTACAGCAGAAATATATCATAGGAGACGATCTACAGCAGAAATCCTGTCTGGCAGGAAACCTGTTGATGGGTTTACCTGGAGAGCCTGGCCATTCCTTTGTGATGATAAATACTTAATTCCTGAGTCCAGGTCACAGGCTCACCCTATCCATACACAAATGTGCCCTTAAGGCAGGATTTGTGAGCACAGAGACAATGGGGAGGCTTTTCCCATTTCCATCCAAACTGCAGATGTTTTCCTGTACTGTTTCAGACTTGTGGTTTATATTTATGTATGTGTTTGTTGGGACATGGGTGGCGCTGTGGTCTAAACCACAGATCCTAGGGCTTGCCGATCAGAAGGTCGGCGGTTCGAATCCCAGCAGTGGGGTGAGCTCCCGCTGCTCGGTCTCTGCTCCTGCCAACCTAGCAGTTCGAAAGCATGTCAAAGTGCAAGTAGATAAATATGTACCGCTCCAGGGGGAAGGTAAACGGTGTTTCCATGCACTGCTCTGGTTCACCAGAAGCGGCTTAGTCATGCTGACCACATGACCCGGAAGCTGTACGCTGGCTCCCTTGGCCAATAAAGCGAGATGAGCACCGCAACCCCAGGTCATCCGCGATTGGACCTAACGGTCAGGGGTCCCTTTGCCTTTATGTGTTTGCCTGGTACAGTTATGAACATTTATTTTATATCTTAGACCTTATAATTCTCATAACCATTAGTGCCCGAAAAGGAAGGAATTACATGAGAGCTCAGACTTTTACCCACTTTTATGTTTCGTAAAACCTACAATGAAATTGTTCACAAGGCTTTTCCTTTCCTTTCCACCTACCTGCAAAAATAAAGGGGTAAAGCACAATATATTATTCTCCATCACTTGAATGTGCTGCATCTGTGCTGCCTCTTCAAGCTCCCCTTTCCTCTTTTGAAAACATCTTTATAAACATCCAGGAGAAAGTAGCAGCTGAAAGCGCCATGTGGCAGGCGGGCACAGCTGTGTGAGTGCCACTGCTGAGGCATCTGAGGAGCATGACACAAGCCAGTTGCTTGATTTCATGCCAGTTGGGAGGAACAAAGCAAGAAGTATGGTGTGAATGGGGGGTATTTTTCTATTCTTTTATCCTCACCAGCATAAGTGATTGAGGTGCCTTTAATGAAAATGTGAGGAATTTTCTCTCCCCTGCAATGGGAGCAGGGGAGAGAAATATCCTGCGGGTATGATTCATATTGGTCTACGGTAGGCTTAACCACCATCCTGCCATTCTTATTCAATAAATAAGGAAGAAAAGAATGCACAGAGTGCCATTTCCTCACCACTAAGCAAATACAGTGGTACCTCGGGTTAAGAATTTAATTCCTTTTGGAGGTCCATTCTTAACCTGAAACTGTTCTTAACCTGAGGTACCACTTTAGCTAATGGGCCTCCCGCTGCCACCGCGCAATTTCTGTTCTCATCCTGAAGCAAAGTTCTTAACCCGAGGTACTATTTCTGGGTTAGCAGAGTCTGTAACCTGAAGCGTCTGTAACCCAAGGTACCACTGTATAGCCAAAAATACCCCCTCTGACCCCTAAAAAGCTCCTACATGGTACAGGTTTGCATGGGATACTAAAAAGGGGTTCAAGAATATGCGGAAATCTGTACATGAACTTCATTCCTTCAGACTTTTCTATTGGCCCTTTCACAAGTGATTTACATACCCTTCCTCATTCGCTGGATCATCACCTTGTCGTGGTGTGTGGGCTTGCAGGTTCCTATGACCTCTGTGAGCAAAGCTGTTGGGAATCTCATACTCCCAGCAGTGTTACCCAAGGTGGTAAGGTCAAAGGAAAGGAGCTAGACAAAGAATGATCCAAGAAGTCCTCAATGGCAGAACAGGTGGATGATAACAAGCGGTATGTTACAACGGCTGTGAAGCTGGATGAAGGCTGCAGCAGATAAGAATCTACTGGTTGTCATGAGTACTCATGCCATCAGAACAGAGCCCTACTATGAAGTCTGTGTGTTGGTCAGCGTGCACTGATCTACACACATAAAACAAATTCACACACAGGTGTCTTCCAAAAACCCAACCCAAACCCCAAAAGTCCCATGGCGATCGGCAAATGGTAATGGGACCAGGATCATGAAATCTGGAAGCCCCTAGTCATCAACCAGCACATGGGCGGTGGGTACAGATTCAGTCATTCTGACTCAAGGAACGAGGCAGTTGAGCAGCACGACAGCTGTATCCATGACTGAGCAGCCCTTTTTAGGATCTACTCTGATCACCCCAAAAAGGGAGAGGGCCTAGAAAAGGTGCCCTGGACATAGTCTGCCTCCCTTTTTCCCTGATTGGATTACCACGCCCTGTGGGGTCAGCACGCAGCAGTCGTAAACCAATGTCCCCACTGTGGGAGGACGTGTGGACCCAGAATTAGCCTCCACAGTCACTTACGGACTCATTGTTAAAACTGTGTTTATGGAAGACAATCTTACTCGGCTATGAGTGATCACCAAAGAAGAAGAAGACATACCCTCCAACATTCCTCAGGTGAAAATAGGGACATTTCTCATTTCCCCTCCTCGACCGCCCATTTTTTGCCACAGAACATCTCCACCACCACTGCAGCAACAGGACACAGCACAGACACCTTCCACCGTCCTGTAGAAACACCTTAATCCTGATTTTATTTAATTTATTCTTTGGTAGATTTAGAAAAAGAAAAACACCAATGAATAAAAAATCAAGACTCCTTGCGTTCTGCTCCCCCTTGCTTCCCGCCCTCAGAGCTGGTACATCACGATGAGCCACGGGAGCCAACTCCTAGGGGCCGACGTTCCTTCAGCCCTCCCAATAAAATATTTGAGGGGTCTGGGGGCCCCCGAAGTTGAGGGAAATTCCCATTCAAATGGTGTGTTTGTGTGGTTCATGTCATGTGGTTGCTTATGTGGGGTGGTGGGCTTATAAAAATGAAAGGGAGCAATGAACTCTGGAAACTTATGTTGGGGAGTTGAATGCTGTGGATCTCTAATGTTAATTTGTAGTCTAAAGAACGAATCACCTTCCTTTTAGTAGCCACTGGGCAACTCATTGCTCAAAACTTGGAAGTCTCTAGAACATTTGCAACTATCACTGGAAACAGAAAGCATTGTTGTGAGGAGTCCCCCTGTCCCCCCCCCCGGAGGGGTAGGATATATGCCTAGTCCCTTCTAATTCTGAGATCCGGCAAGGTTTCCAATTTTGGAATGAGCCTGGTGGGTCACCCTATATGGGTTGGCTGTATTTGCCTAGATGGGCCAAATGCTGTACAAGCCTGCCGTAGAAGGAAGCATGTGCCTGTTCCTATTTTGCCTTTTATCAGGAAGCAGATGTACACAAAATACACTTGTACCATACTTCAGACATGATGTATGTGGTCTTGTTTCTGCACAGGCAACCTGTCTGAGAATCATCATGTGTGAACCGGTCCCGAGAGACTGGGCAAACACATGTACAATTTTCTAGAGTCAGAAAAATCCAGTGGAATTTAACAGTGCTTGGAAATAATTGATTAAAAGCCCCACATGTCCACAGAATCTAATCTAAAGGGTGACCCTTCCACGGAGGTCACTTTATTAATTGCATCTAAAATGCTTATTGGCCCTTTCTTGCCTCAGATGAATGTGGGTGCTAGGGCTACAGAAGAGCAAGCCTCCGGAGCAGAGAGCAAGTCAAAGAAGTTATGTTGCCATGGTTTGTAACTGCTTTTCTATAAATGTTTTTCAGTAAGGTCATGGCCTGGTTGATTAATTTCAAGCACTCACATTCATCTACTGTGCTACGGACAGCTTAAGGCAGATGTTCGCTGGAGCCATTTCCTGCTAACTTATATCTCCTCTCTGTGTTTCTTTTCAGTATTTACCGTATTTTTCTGCGTATAAGACAATGCTTTCTGCTATAAAAAAGAGGCAAAAATTGGTGTCGTCTTCTACACGGATAGTGAATGCAGAGCAGGTACGTGTGATTAATGGCAGCAGCAAGCAGGAGATTGCCAGCGGCAATTGGGCGGGTGATTGGTGGCTGTGCCAAGGCCTGCTGATGATTGGCTGTGGCAGTTGGGCAGGCGATTGGCAGCTGTGGCAAGTGGGTGGGTGGGCTGTCGGTGGTGATGAGTGGGCAGACAATTGGTGGTTGCGGCGAGGTGTGCAATTGGCAGTGGCTGTGACAAGCGGTCAGCAGTAGTGGACAGGTGGGTGAGTGATTGGTGGAAGTGACCTCCCCTAACCCCTTCTTAGGGTATCTGCTTCACCACTGTCTGTAATGAGAACGTTATGCTTGTGTAACCTAGAATTCTTATGTTTTTCCACAGCCCGAGGCTGCATGGTGTTGACAATGATTGGTTGTTAAAAGGTAGCTCCTCAAGTAGGTCTCATGTCCAGAACCATAGCAGATCAGAAGTGGAGCATAAAGGAGGGTTTGGGGGGAAGAGACTGGCAAAATGCGGTTGGACAGGCAGATTGACGAGATTATGGATCAAGACAGACCCTCAAGGGACTTTTGGACAGAACACGAAAGAATCAACTTGGCAGAATACAGTATCGATCATGTGGCAAAACTTGATTTTACTGATTGTCCCTGTAGATCCTGAGCGGTTGGTAACCCCAAAACCACTAGATTCCTATCATAAATGAAAGAAGACATTCTTTCCCAGCAATTTATGGTTGATTCCATACATACCACATCTCTATTCCCCAAGCCACATTTCCTCTAAAACTTCAGCTTTTGTTGAATTCACGATTGTTACCCTATACTTTGCAAGCTGTTCCAACTAGCACTGAAGATATGTAGGTCACTCCTAACAAGAACATACTTATAGCAAAGAATTGAACTTGAGGTCTCACTGTGATTCTGTTGGCAGAAGACTCCCTTGGATCTATAAATAGAGAGCCAGTCACAGTAGCCACACTCCACATTTTAAGCTATGTTGAAAATTGCAGCACTGGCCAAGATATACAAAACAGCCACAAAAATTATATATGAGCTTATTTAAATGCCTTGAAACTAAATAATTTCAAACAGAACAAACACTTTTTAATAGTGATAAGGTTTCAATCCTACAAGCATTTACCTGGGCATATGCCTCCATTGAATATCGTTGTAATTACTTTTGAGTAAACACATGCATAGGAAAGCACTGCTTAACTGAAATCTTAAGTATCTGTACCTGGAAGTAAATAAGTCAAGAAAAGTTCTTTTAAAAGAATATGTTTATTGCTCTTTTGTGAGAATTGTATTTCTTTGTACCCGAATCCTTCCATTTTTATAAAGTTATACTTTTATAAATGTCACTGGGCTTGATCTACTGTCAAAAACCTGGATTTCCTGGGAGTGCACAATTCTAAAGATATGTCAAATGTATACATTCCAAGTTTGGTTTCCCATTGTTATAAGAGACAGTAATTGTGTTTGTTTTATTTCTAGACAAACGTTTGTTAGAATCTCCTGTTAAAAATCTGGAAATGTGAATGCTAGAGACAATTTTAGGTAATTGTTTTGCCCCCCAAGGCCTGCCATGCTGCAGCTGGGTCAGTGATCTGGGCAGGGAAGGTCTGGCAATAGAACCTACTCCAGGTTTAATCCTGCACACTATATCGCCAGACTTTAGCAAGGAGAAAGCAAGGTCAAGGTCAAACCCAGGTCAGGCTTGAGAGACCTGGTATGGTTCTATACAGGGGGGGGGGATGCTATAAATAAGTCATAAATTCAATCAATCAATCAATCTCATTTATTGGCATAGAGAAAGTACATCATATACATGAATCAGAATACAGCACAGTTAATGAAACAATTATTGATGTTGCCTTGGATTAGGTTTAGACAGATCAGGGACTCAGCTACATTAGTAAAAAAAGGGGGGTGTTTTGAATGTGTTATAAACATGAAATGCCAGATGGTGCTGTAGAGCAAAAATAAATAAATTCAAAGTGGTTTTCCATAGCGTTTTTTTTTTCTTTTGTTATAACAATTTAATTTCTGACTTATTTATAGTGTGTTTTTCTTGTGTGTAGATCTACCCCAGGGCTATAGTTCAATAGGCAGCTGAAGCAAAAGAAGGGCAGCAAGAAGGAGAAAGCAGGTACCAGTGATGTCTTGCTAGCTTTCATTTCAAGGCAGACTCTAGGTAGCCAAAGGTACTGAGATTTCAGTTTTCAAGTTAAATCTCAAATAAAATGGCAGCCCAGTACATCAAATCAAAACAGATAGTTCTTGATGGGCTACAATTGGCAATCTGGGGTCCAAACCAATGTCCAGGTGCAAAAGAAAGGGTTAATTCACTGGTCGCCTTCCTGTCTATGAAATGAAATCTCTGCATCTTGCACAGTTCTGATAATTGCTAATTACTTGCAGTAGGCTAGAGATGTTAGAGAGGCTGTTAATTTTGATTACATGGATTACAAAAGAAAAGTAGCTCTTTCATACCATATGAACAGCACTTCTGAGTCTTGACTCTGAACACAGCAAGAAGATAGAATGCCATTATGGAAAATGACATGATTGCTTGAACTCTATATCCACCTAAATAACTCTCTTTGATCTAGTTCTGATTGCAAACGCTGCTTAATGGGAACAGACTCAGTGAAAGCAAACAGAGATGGGGATGTCTGGGGGACAGGATAGAAACAAGAAAACAACCTTGCCCTGAAGTCCACATTCACAAGCAATCCCACCCGAGCTCCGACATCATTCTGATCTCTTTGCAGAGTTCAGACTTCATATTATTTTGGTATTTCCTTTTCATTCCACAGGCCCATGGGCCTAGGAATTGACTCATGGAGGTGTTAAATACCATACCCTCCAACATTTGTCCAATGAAAATAGGGACAGCCTGAATAATAATAATAATAATAATAATAATAATAATATATCTCACCCATCTGACTGGCTTGCCCTAGCCACTCTGGGCAGCTCCCAACATATATAAAAACATAATTAAACATTTTTAAAACTTCCCTGTACAGGGCTGCCTTCAGATGGCTCTGGGGTCAGATAACTCCATACTCTCCAACATTTCTCTGATGAAAATAGGCACCTCCTATTCCATAATAATAATATTAATAATTTTATTATTTATACCCCACCCATCTGACTGTGTTGCCCCAGCCACTCTGGGCAGTTACCAAGATATATAAAAACATAATCAAACAAAACATTTAAACAACTTCCCCATACATGGCTGCTTTCAGATGTCCACTAAAGGTTGTATATTTACTTGTTTCCTTGGCTTGGATGTTGCATAACTCCATACCCTCCAACAGTTCTCTGATGGAAATAAGGACATCCTAAGGGAAAGCGGGACATCCTGGGATCAAATCAGAAACCAGAACTTTTCTTGGAACTTTTCTGGGACTTTTCTTGGAAAGTAGGAACACCTGGAGGATCTGAAATACATAAGACTTAAAGCCGTATCTTTATTCCGGGGGCGGGGGGGCTCCATATGAATTTATTGTAGCAAAAGCAGCAAGGATCTGTCTTCACATTTTAGGGGCTCCTGAAGTTATTATGGCACAAGTCGTTGCGGAGCAGAGCCCACAGTCTGTCAGATGCATGAAATATTATTAGCGACATGGGGCAGGGGAGAGACAATACATAGAAACAGACAAAGTTTTAAAATGATTAATCAAGTCGCCATGAAATACAGGAGTAAGGACGGATTACCTATGTTCCTGAGGCCTGAAGTGAAGAGGCTTTTCCATCTGTGGTGGCTCCCCTTGAGACTTAGAACCACACCAGCTTACACAAACCACAAGGGTTTCCTTGCTCAGAACTCAACATGTGAAGGGCTGTAGAAGCTCTATGGCCTTGTGGATAAGGCTGAAGGAATAGCCCCATGGCCTCATTGTATCTATGCTGCCCATTCATGTGAATAATAGGTAGGAAGGAAACCTATGTGCTAAAGAAATTATATGCACATACATATATGTGTATGGGATGCAGGTGGTGCTGTGGGTTAAGCCACAGAGCCTAGGACTTGCCGATCAGAAGGTCAGCGGTTCGAATCCCCGCGACGGGGTGATCTCCCATTGCTCGGTCCCTGCTCCTGCCAACCTAGCAGTTTGAAAGCACGTCAAAGTGCAAGTAGATAAATAGGTACCGCTCTGGCGGAAAGGTAAACGGCATTTCTGTGCGCTGCTCTGGTTCGTCAGAAGTGGCTTAGTCATGCTGGCCACATGACCCAGAAGCTGTCTGCGGACAGACATGGCTCCCTTGGCCAGTAAAGCGAGATGAGCGCCGCAACCCCAGAGTCGGCCACGACTGGACCTAATGGTCAGGGGTCCCTTTACCTTTACATATATGTGTGTGTGTGTGTGTGTGTGAGAGAGAGAGAGAGAGAGAGAGAGTACCCAGGTATACAAGGTAGCCCATGATATTCTTGTAAAGAAGCTGGTAAAATGCGGTCTTGACTATGCTACCACTCAGTGGATTTGTAACTGGCTGACTGACCGAACCCAAAGGGTGCTCATCAATGGTTCCTCTTCATCCTGGAGAAGAGTGACTAGTGGGGTCCCACAGGGTTCTGTCTTGGGCCCGGTCTTATTCAACATCTTTATCAACAACTTGGATGATGGACTCAAGGGCATCCTGATCAAATTTGCAGATGACACCAAACTGGGAGGGGTGGCTAACACCCCAGAGGACAGGATCACATTTCAAAATGACCTTGACAGATTAGAGAACTGGGCCAAAACAAACAAGATGAATTTTAACAGGGAGAAATGTAAAGTATTGCACTTGGGCAAAAAAATGAGAGGCACAAATACAAGATGGGTGACACCTGACTTGAGAGCAGTACATGTGAAAAGGATCTAGGAGTCTTGGTTGACCACAAACTTGACATGAGCCAACAGTGTGACGCGGCAGCTAAAAAAGCCAATGCAATTCTGGGCTGCATCAATAGGAGTATAGCATCTAGATCAAGGGAAGTAATAGTGCCACTGTATTCTGTTCTGGTCAGACCTCACCTGGAGTACTGTGTCCAGTTCTGGGCACCACAGTTCAAGAAGGACACTGACAAACTGGAACGTGTCCAGAGGAGGGCAACCAAAATGGTCAAAGGCCTGGAAACGATGCCTTATGAGGAACGGCTACGGGAGCTGGGCATGTTTAGCCTGGAGAAGAGGAGGTTAAGGGGTGATATGATAGCCATGTTCAAATATATAAAATGATGTCACATAGAGGAGGGAGAAAGGTTGTTTTCTGCCGCTCCAGAGAAGCGGACACGGAGCAATGGATCCAAACTACAAGAAAGAAGATTCCACCTAAACATTAGGAAGAACTTCCTGACAGTAAGAGCTGTTCGACAGTGGAATTTGCTGCCAAGGAGTGTGGTGGAGTCTCCTTCTTTGGAGGTCTTTAAGCAGAGGCTTGACAACCATATGCCAGGAGTGCTCTGATGGTGTTTCCTGCTTGGCAGGGGGTTGGACTCGATGGCCCTTGTGGTCTCTTCCAACTCTATGATTCTATGATTCTATATTTCTCTCTCAGCCAACTGGGAATAATAATCCACACATCTCACGAAGTGGGCTCTGGTCCATGGAAGCTTATGCCACAATAAAAGCAATTCGTTTTTAAGCGGGCCCAAGTGCTCTTTGTTATCTTTAAATGCTTATTCTTGTTTTCATGAATATTTTTGAGTTTCCAGGTAATTTGAACCATGAAAATTATCCTTCTTCTGCTGCATGCTGGGCTTGTTTTTG